AAAAAAAATGAAGCCACTTTTTAACCATGCACTTCTAGGTTAATCATTTTCAAAAGATGGAGAACTTATAGTTAAATAGAAATGTGAACAGGAAACTTCCTGAAGATATAGACTAATAAGGTAGACTTTAATTAAAAATATCTTTTGGGGATCAGTGTCCTGAAAGGTAGAAGCAGCTTCAGGCACTCTCTAGGCATTGGCCAAGTACTGAGGCAAGTATTGCAATGCATTAAGCTTGACAATTTGACATGTGGACACACATGGCATTCGTACTGCTGTACTTTTTATCACCACAAATGCTGCTTGTAGGCTTAGGTCACTAGAATAAGGGAAAGATCTAGGGAAATGCCATTTGCAAGGAGTCTACCTAGCTCACAGCATATACCTCCCTTGCATTTCTGCCTCCCCTGGTTTTCTATTGAGCTCTCCCAGGCACTTATTTACTTGACTTGAAACAAATGCACGTTAAAATCTTTGCAGGTAGCGTTTCTACCTTGTCTGGCTTACAGAGTTGACAACTCGATCATTCACAGTGATAATAATGGCCTGAATATTTGGTGACAGGTGATACTTCTATCTAATTGACTATTCTATGTTACAGGGTATCCGTGTCTTTCACCAGCCAAACCCAGAACTATGACACTAGACACTTCTAGTTAAAGAACAAAAACCAAGATATACTAACTTTAGAAAACCAGTAAAGGTTTTTGTTTGAAAAATCAGGTACAACTGAAGTCCATTAAAAAAAGCAAACTATTCTTGCTTTAACAATCATATTTACTCAATCTATAAGATTGGTACCATTCCATTTCTTGCCTTGTAGTCTGTAGTATAAAAGAAGCTTGGGCATTTATCAGAAAGAATTTGGAGAATTTGGCTATAAAGTTCCTGCATATGATGGTCTACTTAAAATAATTTCTAAGATGCTGGTTTCATGTTATTTCAGCACTTGTTCTTAAATGAGTGAAAATTATACCTTACATTCACTTTTTCAACCACTTACAATAAACTGCCTTAAAAGAGTCTTTTTTATCATCAATGCTGTGGGATTTTATTTTGTCTTCAATTTGAGAAGAGCAATTTTAGTGGCTTGCATTTTCTAAATTTTCATAAAATATTTATTTGCCATCCAGCAGAGTACTTTGTATAAATTACATTTTACTAGACTACAAATTTTATTCTGAAGAAATGTTTTAATGTGTAATTTTTTTAAAAAATCATAGCTCTATCGAGGTTACATTTCTATGAAATTTCATGTATAGATACATATTTTGTTTTTCTTCTTAAAGATTATTTGTAAGAAGCAACAGAGCATTTTATTAATTCTTTCAGGTATAAAGAAATCATTGTTCTCTCTGGTGCTTGAAGTGAGATCAACAGAGGAGAGAATGAAGAATCCTCACTGCAGCATTTCAACCTGTGTTGATTGTTTTTATTGTGTTTGTTTCTAAGCCAATAACACTTGTCTTTTCTTTCTCCTTCTATCACACACTTGTATAATGCCTTATGTGTTTCCTAACTCTCTTTCACAGATTTATTTGTATTATCTGCAGCAGACTGTGAAGCTCTTAAAGGAAATTGGCATGTTTTGTATAATTGGTATATATCCCATAATATCTACTAAAACCGGGCAAAAAAAAGTTGGGAAATGCATATTTGTAAAATGTCACAAAGGGTTAAATTCCTTACTATGTATATCAGTTAGAAGTTGTTCTTTGGGTTAAAAAAAAGAGTAAATTGAAGTGTTCTGTGTTCTTCCAGGTGGAAAAGTCAAGAGCCAGGGCACACTTCACCAGGTTTCAACTTTTCTCCTTCAGAAATTGTAGATTCACAGAGAGGGAGCTTCCCTCAGAGTGGAACTGAAGTAACCATGGAGTAGAAGAGAACTTTGCAGCATACCTGGGAGGAACGGGAAATATTTACTACACACACACAAACAAACAAACGCACACACACACACGTATATCTATATATACATGTACAGGGATTTAAAGATTTGGGGTTGTTTTGCCAATACCATTGCTTACCTATGTTATGTGTGGTCATGGAATCTATTGCACTAAGTCTTAATTTTGATATTGACATTCAAGGTTATCCACCCACTTTCGTTACCATAGCCAAAATTATCATCCATTCCTTCCCAAACTTAACAGTCCCACCTGACCAATAGTCTCACTAGTTATTACATGGGAAACCATATTTCTGGATATCTCCGATGTCCATGCTTTTTGTTCACATTTTTCCAGCTTCAGGAAATAGCTTCCTTAATCCTTCCATAATCTAAATTATAATGCTTTCTTCAAGATCCGGTAAGCCCCACCTCTTTGACAAATTCAGTCTACAATGATCTCCATAGTCTCATGAATTCTTTTAATAGCTCCCAGAAATACATACAAAGATAAGCACAGATCACGAGATCAATATACTCAAATCTATTCATTCATTTACTCATTATTTCACTAATTCAACAAAAGTCATGGGCCACATTGGGTGTAGGGTGCCAGAAATACTAATATGAGAAAGATAAAAACTATCCCATAAAAAAGTTCAAAATTTTAGGGGAGAGTAAAACGTGCCATCCCAACTTCAAGTATATTAAACTGATACAACATAAATGTGCTAAAATGAAGAGCTGAGGAAGGCAAGAGGGAGTCACTTTTAGTTAGTGTGATCAGAAGAGTATCCTACAAGCAAGTACATTTCATTCATTTGTTTGTTCAGTCATTCAATAAATTTAATATTTGATTGCGACATACCAGGTATTGTTGGGGATGCCAAGAGGAAAGGTCGGACGGTTCGATCTTTGTTTACAGAGTGCTCACGCTCCAGAGGGGAAGACGGTGAGTAAACCAACAATTTACAGCATAGTCTAAAAAAGCGATGTTAACTTAAGAGGACTGTGATAGATGCCATGTCTTTATTTTATTGGTTTGGATTAGTAAGGGTATCATTCCTGCCACCATTTAACCTTGAGCACCTCCACTTTAATAGGAGCAAGCAAAACAGGCAAATGGCAATGCCTAGGTTTGGTTTTCCTCAAGCCTGATGATCAGAAAAACAACAATTCTCATGGTTGATTTATCACTTTAAAAAGTGTCAAAAACATACATTTCAATTAACGTAGCTAAATATTAGCATGCATTAGCCACTACTTATGTAGTTTAAAATCCAATGCTTACTTTAAAAAAAAAGAGTAAAAGATAATCCAAACTCCTAGTTAAAATAAATACCTCATTAAGCTTTCATTGTTATTGGTTCATAATTACTGTTTATTTCATCCCTAGTTTGAATGGTTTTCATGGAATTAACTCAACCGTAATACCCAGTGGTTTTTTTTTTTTTTTCCACTCTTATACACAGCTTCAACTTGCTTTGGATTTTAAACAGGATTTTAAGCTTTTCTTAAAAATGCTTATAGGCAGCTTCCTCTAGTCCCACTGTTGTTCTCCATAAACACAGACTGAATGGCCTTCGAAAGCTTTAGAGACACAAAGGTGAGTAAATCACAATCCATTTCTTCAATGAGTTTATAATGTATAACGGAGTTATAGGAAGTTTCAAAAAAGAGGCAATTGACTGGTCAAAGAAAATTATCATTATGTGCCCAAATAGGCTTCCAAATTATCTGTGTGCTAAGAATGATGCTTCATTAAGTCACTCATTTTCTTTGGTTCTGGCAGCTCAGACAGAGGGGGGTGGGAAATAGTTCTTTGATTGCAATGTGTTGTCCCTGGTCCACGTAAGATCCAAACGAATACTTTCATACCCTAAGAAAAGAGTCCTTTTTCTGTCATCAAGCAAACTTTCTTTAGCTTCCTTCTTCCACCAAGTGTTTATACACAATCAGTCAACTACAAATACTGCCCACTTTATTACAAACGGCTTTGTTCCCTGTCTCTCTCTTTCGGGTGCTGCATGGTTGTTTACAACACACAGCATTTTACCCGCATACTTTAAAGAGACTAGAGGAGGGTTTATATATAAATCACATATATGTATATATGTGTGTGTATGTATTTATATATACACACATATTTAAGTACAAATATTGTATGCAAAAACCTCCATATACCAAAGAATGTTTCAGAAATCTCAGAGTCATCAGAGGAAATAAAAGGAACACATTTTTTACTAACTTTAAATAAAGACAACACAAAACTACCATGTTCCTGAACAACATGTAATTTTTTTAATACGCATCTTATTTATTTCTTAGGCATCCACACTATTTAATGGACTAATATGACTTTTTTTCCCCAACTCCTGAGGCCTCTGTAAAATAAATTTACCTTTAGTATTGTCATTAATTTACCATGAAATGTATTAGAAAACAAATATTTACCATATTTTCACTTGGAAAATGCTTTCAAAGTAGTTCTCAAGGTTCTATATTTCTACTTAATTTAAAAGACTAGTAAACAAGGTGCAGCAATGACTATGCTTCTTTCTCTGAAAGGCTATGACTTTTGTTAAAGAACATACCCAGATGCTGTCCTCTTGTCGGTATTGTTTCCAGTTCCTGCCACTGTCGCTGAACATCAGGAGGTAGCTGGTCACCCAGTTGGAGCTCCCATATCCACCTTGGGTGGCCACAGCAGTGACCTCCATTCTCTCTCCAAGGTCAATCTGCAACCACTGGTACTTGTTTGACACAAGTGGAGACCAGCCACCAGCTCCTTTTGTAAAAATAAAAACAGGAGAAAATTGGGAAAGAAGAGTTGGTTAAAAATCTATGCTAGAGAAGCAGAAATGTCAGTAAGACTGTATTCCTCTATGGAATTTAAGTCAAATTTACGAAATATAAAAATTACTCACAATTGTAGAAAAATATAGAAAAGCAAGAATTTAGTGTAAATGGATGGAACCTATGTTAATTGTGTTCATTTTTGGGTTTTATAGCCTGCTGACACTGGGGAGAACTAAAAGTCTCACAGACTGTTTAAAGTGCTTAATTTGATAGATGAACACCCATGTCAACACTTGAAACTAGCATTTCTACTGCCTTCATGCATGACTGGGGAATGGTCTGGCCTTCAACCCCACTGACCAGGATTGGATGTAAGGAATATCTGCATACTATGGTGGAAGTGGAAAACCACCTTTGATCATGTTTGGAGAAGGAAATACATTGTTAGCCTGGGAAAACAAAGACAGTCAAGGAATAGTCCTTGCCCTCAAGGTGTTTGCAGTCTTATGGGAGGGACAGACATTGAAAAGCATGTTTGAAAGGTAATGTTAATGGTAAGACATGTGCAGGAACAATAACACAATAAAGATAGAGAGTTCTATCGAGCGGTGGGTTGGAGCTGCTTCACAACAGTTTGCAAGAGATGACTGTTAAATTTTCAACTTTACAAGCAAGTTACTAAACATAACCATCTTTGCAATTAGCCACAGTGGGAGTATTTAAACCATGGAAATTGCAAACTGTGCAAATAAGTTCCCGCCCACACCCCAGCCAGTTTACTAACACACCACTGGTTCCATCCTACCTGGGAGAAAGGTGGTGGGTGAGAGAATGGGGCAAAGAAAAACACTGTAGAGTAAGTTACGCTTGATCCCTAAGAAGGGAAAAATAGAAGTCTGATGTATGTTCAAGGAAGTATAGGTAGAGCAGAATCTGTTGTGTTTTATTGCAGCCAACACACACATATTATAGATGTGAGTCCTGTATGTCTTAGGTTGGTTCATTCTTCCAGTTTAATGTAATAATTAGGGTAATTTATTTATTTTAAGTGATATTGCACTGCTGATTATGTAAGCAATATCTAATGATTATAAAAGCCATGAAGTAGGGATTGACACATTCTCGAATCCACATTTATCTGATATTCAGTATTTATTAAAATGCAACCTCTATTACATAACACCCCAAAAAGGAATGTTAGCATTTGTTTTCTTTCCCTCATTCTTTTGCCACTCACCTTGAGGCTCTGAGAATAAGGTCTAAAATTTTAGAAGAGATTATCACTAATTTTTATGCAGTTTTAATTCAAGTATTACTCTTTACATCTGTGACCTACTTTATGAAACCTTGAATACAAACCCTACTTCAAAGAGATGCCCAATAAATGTTTGCTGTTACAGTGAGGCATATGCCATTGTGAGACCTAAAGGGACACACCTGTGTTGACAAGTGTTTTGTGAGATTTAAAGATTCCTTTGATGGTGGAACACAGCACGATGACATTCTGATAGATGAAAAACAGAACTCATTGTTACTTTTAACTACAAAAAAGAGAAGGATGCCAGGTAGGGCCACACAGGGGATTGCATCAGGGGATAGGGTAACAGCAAGCTGGAGCTGTAGGAGGGAACTTATGTTTGGCAAGTGGGGTGGAGTCAGGTAGCTAGGTTTTAGGGCTCCCTGTGAATTGGCTAATTTGAATAATTTCTCTAGGAGGCTCTGGGGCATAAAAGTCCCTAGTTGTCTGGTATGTGGCCTCGGCGATGATGCATTCCAAGAGCCTATAAAGGAGTGGCTGAAGTATGAACATAATCCACTGTTCAAGAAGGGGAACTGACCAGCCTCTAGCCAGGGCTTCAAAACTGGTTCAAAACAGCATTTTTAAAAAAATTATATTACAACAATGTCCTCTCTTGATGACATCACACTAACTACCGCGTGCATTCGGGTATGATTCCTGTTACTTACTATATTGTCATTAGAACTGGATACTTTGTCAAATTTCTTTATTTCTTAAAATGAACCATTGTTCAAAAGTGTCTTCGACTCCATACATCAAAAGTACAAATGCTCTCCCCCTTTTGTGGATCCAGAATATTTTTACATACCACAATTTTTGTTTGTGTGTTTTTACTTTCAATTTTCTCTATATTTTCCCTTGAAGAACGTGTGGTTTTCTATGGAGTTCCCTTGGTCACCAATATCATCTACCTTGTTTAGAATAGAGTAGAATATTCTCATATTTTATGCAAGAGGGCTTTTTGGGTATACATGGGCCCTGACTGAATTTTGGTGACATTTGGTGTCTTGGTGTCATTTGTTTAGCACAGCTCTGCTGTCCACAAGGGGCACTTGCAGTGTGTTATCTACATCGCATTTGCTTTTGAATGATCTGAAGCACACCTTGAATAGTACCCTGTCACAAATAGCGCAGGGAGTTCTTGACCTCTCAGTGGGAACTGCTTCCATAGCACTATTTTTAAATCGGAGCCAGTGCTTCAACCATACTTCATTTTTCAGGATGTGATGAAACACCATCCAATCCTCCACTTATTCTACTACAGTATTACTTAACATTTATTAAGCGAGTTAGTTCTTTGTGTCCAGCACTCTGTGAAGGCACTGTTAATGAATTCTCAAAGCAATCTATTTAGTAGGTGGTGAGTCAGATACAGAGAGCTTGAACACCTTGCCCTTGTCCCTGGAGTAGGCAGGAGGTACAGTCCTCTAAACTAGGATACAACAGTGCCTCTCACATTGTCTTGATGTATAAGTGGGAATTGGTAGTTCCCAGCAGATGCAGAAAAGATGGTGCTAGTGGAGATCAGGGAACCTCAGGATTGAGTTTCCAGGCAGTAGAGTCAACTTCCCTCCCTCTGGTTAACAATGGACCATGTCTTTGAAGTACAGGCACATGACAGAGGTGGTGGTGGGTAAATATTTCCCTCCACTGACCTATATAATCTTACTATTCCCCCCGTCCCCCAGGGCCTGTCAAAACTTTGAAAGTCAAAAGTCTTCTGTGGTCTGATGCTAACGAAGCATCCTCAGTCCTCTTATTGCTGCAACTGCTACGTATCTCCCTGTATTGTTATCATTTCTCACAATGAAAAGTTAAGAAACAGTGAATGAAGTGCCCCAGATAGCCACCATCTCAACCTGGAAGCTCTACCTCTGGAATATTATCTTATATCAGCTAATACCTCTGAGAAAATACTGATTATTTTGCTTCTTGCTCTTGCTAGTTAATTGTAATGGTCTAAAACCAGTAATGAGAATCTGTTTTTTAAATCTGGAATTTCATAGCATTTCTCTTGCATTTCGGCACATCTTTATAGACCAGTATTTAAAAAGCGAACACATGACAGAAGCACGGCAAGGCAAAAAGAATCAGCATGATTCCAGTGAGTTAAAATTGGATCATCAATTCTCATCAGGAGAGAGAGGAACCCCTGACTGACCGCTCCTTTTCCCAGCATCGCTCACAGTTACGGCTGCACGAGTCAACTTGAAACATTTGCAGTTAATTGACCTTGAACATTTCAATTTCTTACCTGTGGTGAAAAGGTACTACTGGTATGCAAATTAAGGTATATCATTAACAAGGTACACTGATAAAGTAATGGAAATTCAGATGCTCCTAGGCTTTACCAAGTAATTTCAGCAAGACAAGTTGGCCACAGGGAATTCAAATATCCCTACTGGGTTTTGAGCTGTGCGGCTCTGCAGACACACACGGTGTAAGTGTGTGATGGAGTGTCATGCTCGTTCTAATTTTAAGACAAATGCTAAATAATAATATGGAAAATATAAGATAGATAGACAGACAGATGATAGATATCAATTGACCTTGGCAGACTTTGCTATGCCAGCCTAGGGTGACAGTTAGGGATGAGAGTGACATGACATGCAACTGCAGCTGCCGCTGAGGTTAGACCCCACCAGCCGCATGGCCACTGCCAAACCTTGCAGCCTTCTGGAGACACACGACTGTCATATTTACTTTTTTAATGAAGAAAGTGGTGACTAACTCCAGCAATTGTAAACTCTACATTACTATAGAATAAAATATAATGAATTTTTTATTTTGCTTATTAACTAAGCCTTTTCACTGCTGGTTAAGTGTTATTGTCCTTTGTGATGCTCTTAATATGCCAATATATTCCACATCACAGTAAACCAATACCCATGAAACTAAAGACTTTCCTTTTCATAACCCCATCTATTCCATGGTTACTGATACTTAACCCACAAAACAAAAACAAGAGTCTTGCCCTACCAGTTCCTTTTCTTCCTCATATTGCAGTTTTCCTGCCCCTAACACACCACCCTCTCTCTCCTGTTTTGGCCTTGCTATGGAGATTTGGCGTAATAAAATGTCATAAATCTATTCAAATAGGAACATTGCTTAACTCTTCATATTATAGCCTGAAAACGCACATTTAAAAATAAAAACCCTCCCCATCAATAAGACTCTTAAATACTGTAGTATTGTTATGAGAATTAAATTTTAAGAGCTTATTAAGTACCTATTGATATCTCCCAAATTCCACAAGCATGACAGTATATGATAGTTGTAACTTCTTGAATCATAAAACAATTATTATTGCTGTTGACTCCAAAGAAAGAATTGTGAGCACAGCAAAGTTGAACTTCGAAAAAATTTAGTGACTGAATGACCACGAAACAGTATCTCTTTTATCTGTTGCTTACCACTTTAAAGCATCAAATTTCTAAGGAACTTGCTTCTATAATATATGTTGCTATGAATTATAAGGAACAAAAAGTAAACTAAAAATTGTCCGCTGTCTATTGTACACTACCGGAAATTATGTGTACTATATTAACTTAATTATTAAAAGCATCTAGTTAGATAAAATATTCTTTAATATCTCTTCTTTCCAAATAAAACTTAAAAATATTTACAGAGGCTAAGTAAAAATTTCCCAATACGATGCACATTATTTTAGCATAGTTGAGAAATTACTT